TTTTTTATTAAAATTATGAATTTGAAGGTCCGATAAATCGATTCTCATTATAAGGAATGTATTTTGTTAGATATAAAGGAAAAATTTCAAAATATACAATGATTTCTCATATTCTTTATAATATCTAATATTCGATAATAATTATGATATTCCTTTATTCGATGATTAAAATTATCTATGAAATATTTGTTTGAATTTTTCATATTGAGGTAAATATATCTAAAAGATTTAGTTTGGAATATTTATTCTATCTCTTTTAAACCTTTTTATTTGAAATTTCCTGGTTTATTTTTTATCTATATATATTTTAAATAGAATTACGATAAAATATTGATTTGATATTATATTTCAATTTTTTTGGCATAGATTTGGGATTTCTCAATAATGGATGACAGAGGGTCGATAAATGAATTGGCCAATAATTTATTATATTATTATATATATTTTTTTTTCTAATCGATTCATATAGAAATATATTCATAGTTATTTAGCAACAAATTAGATATCAAGAAAAATAAATCATAGATAGATTATTATTAATAATTATTAATAAAATAAAAGATACTCAAATAAAAAAATAATCGTGTTAATTTTGACCATTATTTCTAGAAAAAACTAAAGCGAAATCTCTATATCAAATTACCACAAATATCTGGGGATATATATCTATAATATAATGTTATTAGTTCGCTTATAGATACGTGGTCGGGAAGCTCAATATTTTAGTGCCAATAAATGTTTATCGTAAAATCTCGGATTGAATTCTCATATATATAACAATCTAATTAAATCGGAGCGGGCTAAATTTTGTTTTCCAATATTTAAAAAGCCTCAACCCATCATCCCAAAAAAAATCTCCTATTTATCAATCCAAATAATTTCTTTCGATTATAATATTTATATCTCTTAATATTTTAGAAAAAAAATAATTAGTAGTATTAAGAAAAAACAATTGTTTTACGAAAATAAATTGCAACATTTCATGTATATATAAATATTTATTCAAATACGAATTACAAATAGAATTCTAAAATTCATTAACAAAAAATACTTAGTAAAAAAATAAGATAATTTACTAGAATATGAATTCAAAAAAAAATATTCGAACGATAAATTACATATCGTTTTTATCTAACGATAAAATCATGTTTCACCCTGGAATATCAATTTTATATTAAATTCTGAGAAGAAGAAATGAAACAATTAAGAAGATGTTATAAAATATCTCTCGATCTATTATAATTATTCCAAATATTCTATTCGTTCTATGCGTGCCGCCCATTCCAACCGTTCCATTTACCCCGCGCCCCATTTCGTGCCTTACCTGTTCCACTCGCTCCTGTCGCGTGGAACGAGCGAGCCTGCGAGTTCGTCGCCGAGGGGAGCGGTGCGAGTGGAACGGGCTCAGCGAGCGGCGCCGACTTTAACTTCCGCCTTCCACATCTGCGGTCGCACTGTAACTTTAGTTCTTGTGACATATCATCAATGTTTTCAAAATGTGCGAAAGCCCTTTTTATTTATGAATACAATGCTCGGCCGACCTGTCATCGCATGGCGAATCTTTCAGGATGGTCATTCAAAATTGGTCATGATTGGCAGGGTCTTGAGTTCAAACGACCCAAGAGTGTCCTTTTAAAAGAACAAAACAAAAAAGGCGCAGAAACCTTCGCCCACCACGTGGCAATGAGCACACGCTGAGAAGCACGAAGAACTGCTCGTTGCAGACGTGCCGGTCCTGCGCTAAGGGCTTTCTGTCTCCGACTCACCGTCACCGGAAAAGCCTTCCCCTATGTCTGCGAGCTCGCTTGGCGCACGTTGCTCGGGCTGTTGTTTGCGACGGAAATCCTTGAGATGAAGCCAAAACTGACTGCAATCTTGGCCAGCTGGTTGGATAGCATAAGGCTTGAGTCTCGCCGATTGCGCCAGCATGTATGCTGAAGGGCGATCAAGCGTTCGAAAATATACTCGCTCCAGGGACTCTTCCGTACAAATGCTCTCTCGACGAGCATAATCCAGAACTCTCTGAGACACGGTGCCCCAATCTGTTGGTCTTACAAAATCTCTTAAGGATGGCGCTAAGGCTGATCGACCACGCTTCGACCTCGACCTCTTGTAGCTCAGGTGCACCTGCGTCACGGCATGATCCTTTGCATTTATGAGCAGCATAATCTCCTTCAAGCCAGGCGATTGCAGCAGGACTGGTCCTGAGCAGTCTGAAAATCCAGCTCTTGAACTCGGTCGCTGAATGTTTAGAGGCTGAGAGATGATCTGTGAGAGGCAGGGCGAAATATCTTTGGCATCAGGCACTGCCAAGCAATCGGCATCCAGTTTCATGGCCAGCAAGTGGCAGACCCCATCACAATCGTAGAGTTGTGGCACAGCAACATGAAAAAGATCTATACCGAGGCGTCCACAAGACTTGGGCTGCATGGAGACACGGAGACAAGGAGGCGCTCTGGACTCATCCGTCGACCCGTCGCATTTGGAAATGAAGTCAGAGAACCGGCTCTTTTCATCTTCGTCGTGAGTCAGAAACTCCTGAAAGTCTTTGCCTCGAAGGCTCTCGCTAGTCGAGAGAAGACGTTTCAGCCCAGCGCCCTCATCCAGAATCCGCAGCTGCCCGTCCAGTAATATCTCAGCATCACAAACACCATGCAGGAGTGTCCGAAAGCTGGCGATCATTTGCCTCAGCCCAAGGCCAAAACCCTCACAAGATACGACAGATAGTCACAAATGTCTTGGAACCAAAAAAATTGGGCTACTCAGGAGGTTCAAGAAATTGGGCTAGAACACCTAACTGGCCGCGTAGCCTAAACTCAGCATGCTGGATTGTACAGGGGCCATTGTCAAGAAGTATATACGATGTAGGTTCATTGATCCTTGTGGTTTGGCAAAACAAATCTTACCCCGAAAACCTGGAACCGGAGCGCTGAACTTCACATCCACATCCTTTGTTAGGGCCCTCGCCCTTCTCCTGGTCTCGTTTTGCCTACATCGGAAATGCTCTGAACTATTGATCACCTGATTGCAATTGATTGCACCTGTCAGTACACTACACTCGAATTCGCAAGCATTCGCGAGGGAACACTCGCGAAAACTTTTCACGAGCTTGCCCGAACAAATCGACGTCACCGCCTTTCCCTGAATTTCTCTGGATGCAAGAGACCCACGACAAACGGCTTCGGTCCGCACAAGACCATACCTCTCCCGCGAATTATATCTTGTAGCATTTGGCTCCTGCGGATGCTTCACTGATTCAGACGAGGGTGGAGCGAGCGTGATTCGGGCTGCGAGCTCTTTGGGATTCCTGCGTCTTCCTTCTAACAGCAGGAGGACCAGTTCACGGTCCTGTCACATGTAAAGCTCGGATTTCCTGGACACCACATGAAGACGAGTGTACATAATTTCATGCGCACACGCGGTACAAAGGCAAGTGACAATGGTTGCTGCTAATCGGTGCTGCGCCCGGGAGCGTGACTTGCACACCACTAGCCGCACTAGCCTCGGTTCTATGCTGATCTGCCCGCCCAGGAGGCTAAGCTCTGAGGGAATGGCTCGGCATCGACGTGTCGAAACTGTGCTGAGAAGCGCTCTCTGATGGTGTGCTCGTACAACACCGATGCTGTGATAACGATCATTGTAAAGCCGAAGGCGGATGCCAAGAACTCCACAAACTCCCTGACTTCACCATCCCTCCCATGAGCTGCGAAGAAACGACCGACTTCTGCCAGCAACATAGCGATCTGACCAGGGACGTGAACCTTGCTGTCAACAAAGCATACAACCCCTGCAAATTGTGCCGTCAGTAGTGCCTTTTGGTTTACTTGGTTTGAGATCGAGCCAGCAGTTTGTGGGGAGAACCAAACATGAGCCATCATCATGATGTAGTAGAAACAGAAGAGAATTCGCAATGCTCGGGTAGACGGCCGAAGTGAGCCACTCGCAATGGAGGTGTGAATCATGTACGAGCAGATCGACAGCAGCATCATACACGTACATGTTAGGAGGTCGTCTCCATATGTGATGGGTATCGTGATCAGGCCTGTTAGGGCAGCATGCTGAAGTAATCTGCAGCTTGCCACGTAGTTTTCCTCCCTCAGGCGATTCATGGCTTCGTCGATCCGCTTCGACGAGGTGAGGTTGGAGATGAGGATGCCACGCCCGACTTGTCGAAAGTACTCTACCACTTGACGACGCAGAAGAACAAGATCTGCCTTTGTCCTCCACCAGTGGTAAGTGATGCTGACAATGCTCCATGCTAGCAGCGCCCCGGAGGCCATTTCAACCATGGCTTAAACTCTGAGTCAAGGAATCAGTTGGACAACTTAGCATAAGGCTGTTCTTCAGAATGTTGCCTCCAATTCCGAGAATAGGGTCACGAGGTCTCGAAAATGAGAATCTCGATGGTTAAACGGTTAAACGCTTCTGGTCTTCTTGTTGGTGCTACCCGTTCAACTGCAAACACTTGCCCGTCGAGACGGCCGGATTGCTGCTAACGGAGTGCATGACAGACGGGGAGTGGGTGGCAGAGGCGCACAATGCTGCTCTTTTAACTCCTAAGTTTGGTGGAACTGCAGATCTCCTGCCGCACTCAGCGCTGAAGCGGCGGGAGCCATTGGAGGCAGAGTGAAACCGGCCGTCCGCAAGCCAGCCTTCTCTGGCTCTTCCCTTGGTCACCGGTCACCCAGAGAACCAGGCTAATCTAAGTTGGACGTACGTGCAATCTGTTTGTGGCAACATGGCAGGTCTACGGTTCTACCATGTACTCCAGATTAGAGACGGAAATCTTGGTGAAACGTGCCACGGACCGGCAGTTGCCGGACTCCCCAAACCGCGAGTAGCGAGAGGGCACCATGGTCTTACACGTCTTACACATCCATGGTCCGCCTGCTCTGCCCAAAGCCACGCCTTTCTGTACATGCAGACTCTCGGCGACTCGGGCGGTACATGGCCTCGGCTCTCCACAAGCACCGGCAGTGAACAGAAGTGCATCACAGGCCTTTAAACTTTGGACTGCCCCATGACACAAATCTTTGCACTACTGCACTCGTCCCTTCTGTGTAGGACTTGGTCATCAACTGAAGCAAAGTCTCTTGATCAGTGTTCCCTTGCCCAGTGATCTGTGCGGCCTGGCGGCCTAGAATGCCAGCGACTCATTTGCCTTCCTTGGCATACCAGGCAGCCCACTCTTCTTCGGTCCAGTCCTCCAGAACTGCAGCTGGAGCGCCGAGTGTCAGCAAAATCAACCGGGAGAACGCTTTCTTGATCGAGATGCAAGACTTCAGGCTGGTCCTCGTCGTCGTCCCCACCGCCATAGACATCCTGCCGTCACAATGCGGATAAGACATCAAATGCATCCGAAATCTCCACTTGCAGCGGTCCTCCCATTCCGAATTGGCATTGAACTTTGTGTTCTTGTTGATCTTCGTGTTGGCCTTGTTGTCTTTCTGCGCCTTTGCCCCAGTCTCTGCCTGCACACGAGACACTCCGACGCTTCTAGATTCGAGATACCCTGCATGATTCGTGTGCAGCTGCGGGCGTTTACAAGGATTGCATCTCAACCGGGGTGTAAAGTAGGGCTCAGGTCTCTTGTTTGGCATTGTGAAGAATGCAAGACTTTGGCAAAGTTCGGCCTGTTGGTCTAGAATAACCTAGGCTTTCGGCTTTATCGGCATCTTCAAAGGTTCCGGAGTGGGATGAGTCCGCTTGCACGCGGGCAAGGCGCTACGAATCTGACTGTGGACTTCAGCATGTGCTCGGCCGGTCAGGGCGTCTACCTTCCGGACCAGACGTGAACATCACGACCCCTGTTTCCATCGTCTCCTGTTCTGTACCGAAGGTGGACTACTGCCTAACGCCTCTGCCCAGGCGCTTTCAAATTCCTTTCTTCTCCTCCTGCCTGAAATCGGTAAACCTGCATGTGAAAGCGCGCAAACAGGTGCACCTTCTTGTGTTTGGCAATGTCGGCCAGGCTTCTCTCAAGATCTTCCAGACTCAGCATCGAAAAAGTCTATCCGCAGCAAGTTTCTTCTATTCACGGGCCCTGTCGTCCCACGTGCGACAGTCGGCGGGCTGTGCACGTTGGTACCGCTTCACCAAGGACCAAGGTCTGGGCTCTTTCATGTCGAAGGCCTCCTCTAAGCCCTTGATCAGACCTTTCAGGAACCTTGGCAAAGCACGATTCCAAGCCCAAAACTGCCAGGAAAGTCAGCGGTCTGACAGCGAAGTCAATTGATACGGCAGACAGTAATCTTGTGAGGGACTGTCTTGTCACTGTTGCAACATGTTCTGAGCTGCAAGGCTTGTCGGGACCACCCTTGGCCAAAGTAGCCTTCTCCTTAAGGCGAGACGGGCAGTCGGCCCTGTTACAGGCTTGACCGGCCACTGGGTTTTTGGCAAACTTGTCCAAGCACTTGCCCAAAAGAGCGGTGACCTTTGCCATTGATCGCGAGCACATCGCCAGACGTCGTACTGCGACTTTACAACACATCTGAGATTCCCTGCGTCCTCGCTCTTCTGGAGCTGCAAGGCCTCGAATTCGTCCACAGTGACTGCCTGCAGACAGATGCGCGAGAGCGCTTTGGCTTTCACGGCACCAGGTTGTGCCTTCGGCTTTGCTTTCGCCTTCGCAGCCTCGGCTTTTTCTGCCTGCAGGCATGACGACTGGCTTCGAGAGGCTAGTCGACAAGCTTCGCAGCCATTGCCACCGCCATTTCCGGCGCAGGTTTGTCCATTCCGCTCTTTTCAGCGGCTGTGCGGGCTGTCATCAGGACGGTCATGCGGGGACCAGCGTGGTTCATTACTGTCCGGATGCTTATCCCACAAGCCTGCATCACCTCAGCTCGGACTGCCCTGAAGTTGCCACGGGATCGCGCAAGGTTGGAAATGATTCTGGCCGCGGGCCGACTTGGCGAAGCATGTGAATTTCAGTGCGAATACATACTGCAGCAGGCACGGTCATGGCGGCCGACCTTCTCTCGCTTCTCCTTCTCGAGCAGCGATTCCTTCTTCTCGAAGCCCGAGAAGAGATCATTTGCTAGCCTTCGGTTTGAATGGTAATATCAAGATCGATGGTCTCATCATGTCTCATCGACATTAACGTTTGCAAAGCCTAACAGAAGTCGCAGCCTGCTGTCTCTGTCCTCCTCGAGCTTCCGAAGTCGCTCTCGCTCGGCCTTTGGATCTTTCCTGGCCCGAGCTCACACAAATAAAACTCGTTTTACAAGATTCCACGTGAGACCTGTTGCAAGTCAAAAACGTGCCATGAGAAATTGCCGGCATCACAAAGGCACTTGCGCAGGATCAATTTCTGGCTTCTTCTCTGCTTCCTGAGTATGCACAGGTTCCGCATGTCGGCTGCTGCTCGTCTTTGCTGTCCATGAACTGATGCCAGGGATGCGGGCATCATGCACGACAGACAGACACACACACACACACACTGGCCCTTCGAGTCTCGTTGAAAAGCTATGCAAGAGGGTCGAAGAGGGACAGTCTGCACCGCTTGGATGCTCGCGCCTTAGCCTGAGTTGGGCCTCTCTCTTTCTTCTTTGGAGCAGCCTCCCGTGCCATGCTAGCTGCAATAGGGTCTTCCAGCCCTTGTCGATGCAATGGAGGGTCGGCCCTCAGAACCAATCCCCGAATGGCTCTCCTTTGCTTTGGGTTCCTCCTTCTTCACTTCCTCCTCACTTTCGGAGTCTAGGCCTCCAGCAGCAAGTGCCCCCAAGCAGCACGATGCTTCGGAGATCTCTGAAGCCACGTCGTCAGAGTCGAAGCACTGTGCTCCAGAGCAAGTTGCACCACGCCTTCGTCACGACGACGTTGCCGTTCCTTCTCTTTCCTCTGAGCCTGTCAAGTCACTGCAACATGATTGGCAATTAGTTGTTGCAGTAATCACGGCAGTGCTCCATGTAAGGTTAGCGGAGCAAGTCCGGAAATGCTTATGGCTCCAGATGACTGTGGCAGGTGAAGTGGACAGAAGCTTCCTCCAACTTTGCTTCGATTGCATCTTCATCGGCGTCCCACCTTGACAGCTCTTCGAATCCATGCTGCTCCAAACGTGCGGCCAGCGATCAGGCAGTCAGGCAAAGCCGGCGCGTAAGTGTGCATGGACAAGCAGCGACTGAGGTTCCTGCTCGTCATCATCGTCCCAGGAACCGCCAGCCTGTTGGAACCAAGACACCCTCTAAGGATTTCACAAAGAGTCGAAGGGCCTCTCCGTCCTTTTCGTCTTCCTCTTCAGACTCCCGTCCTCGTCCATTGACAGCCCGAGGACCGAGAAGAGCAGGGAGGAATGAACAGAGAACTAAACAAATCTGAACAAACGCGATACGGGGCGCATGCCTTCGGCGCGTCTCTGAGCCTTTTCCTTCTCCTTTTTGTGCTCCTGCTTACGATCAACTCCGCTCACCTTGTCTGCCAGCCGGTGCACACGTTGAACGGCCTCTGCCTTTTTGTCGAGGTCGTCGTCCCACCTTCCGAAGCCAGCAGGGTGGCACATGCTGCCCGCTTGCTAAATGCAGCTCTATTCTGAGAGCATTTTCAAGAAGGTCATGTTTGGGCGCCCTGCTCATCGTCGGAATCGTCCCAACCCATGGCCTTCGTATGCGAATAGCATGGGCTCTCTCTTTGTATGTGCGTCTTGGACTTGCAGCTTCGTGGGACTACTCCTGGCCTCGAGGAGTCGAAAGCGGTTCAAGACTACGGCCCAGGCGGAAAAGTAATGGAGCCGAAATCAAACTGCAGGAAACAACCGCACCTCAAACAGAAGATGCCAGCTTTCACACATTCACAAAGGACTACAGCCTGCAACCTGCCATGTCTTAAGTCCTTGACCGACCTGAGGCCTAAAGTTCTGGTCGAGTCTGGTCTTAGGATCTAAAGCAGATACATGCAAACATGGTCTTGAGTCTTGATGCCGTGCGATCTGGCAACAGTCGATATTTCTGCAACTGCGGTGAAACACTGCGAATTACCGGAGATGCAGTGTATCCGCCAAGGCTGTGGCTGCAGGATTGTGGCGGTGTTGGAAACCACGGTCCAACAGTTGACTGGCATGTGGCAAAAAGAACCTTGAAGAAGGCAAAGGAATCCTGCAGAACGGCTAACCTGCCCTGCCTGCTGTACAATCAGTCGGCGGGGCACGGATGTGGATGAGATCAACTGTAGCACGCGGCTCTGCTGTTTGACTTTCTTTAGAGTCTGGTTACCAGTAGCCACAGGCGATCTAACGATGTCACAGGTGGAGGTCGTGAAAGGTCTTCAGCCTACACAGGTATCCTGTGAGATCGAGCCCCACTCTGCAGAGCTCAGAATTCTTGGTCCTTGCATGCGGTGAAGAGCCAGCTTTGCCAAGACTGCATGAAACGCCAGGGCTCATGCCGTTGTCATTCACTCGAAGCCTCGCGCCTCAAAGAACAAAACACATCACTTCGCGCAACGCGCATGAGTTTCAATTGTGACTCGGTCAGGTGCCCCGAGTTGGGCGACATCTGTCAGAAAGGTCATGGAATTGTGGATCGTGGTCCCGCCGAGGACGATGCTGAGACAGCAATTTGAAACACAGGCGTAAAACCCAAGCTGTCGACAGTGCCAGATGCAGCTTCGGGGTTCAACCCCCCCGTCTGTGGCTTGCTTAAACCGGATCTATTCAGCAGCTGGTATCGTGAGTTGAAATATGCCAGGATTCATTGATGGAGCTGTGATGAGTCTGCCGAGTCTGACAAACCAGAATGTTTTCTGTCTGCACGTGGACCGACTGTTCGCAGAACTGGTGATAACCTTATAACTGGTGACCGAGATTTGCCCGGTCCTTGTCTCGCCTTATTATCGTCAGCAATCTAGTAAATAAGAGGGCAGCAAAAACTCACAGTACCAGCTTCTAAACAAAGAAGGCTTTAGTAGGCCCCGCCCCTTCATTTGCAGACATGTCGAAGCTTGCGGCGCGTCGGTCTGCAGTGAGACATTGTTGGTCCATGTCTGTTTGACATGGCGCATGACGCTGCAACGATTTACGTTTCCATGAACCTTCAACATCTTTACTTGACTATCTTGCTCTGAATGACACAACCAGAGTCGGACGAGTTTCTCCTCACTAAGAATGTCAAACTCCACAGTGGCCTGTTCAGAGAATAGGCACTGCGATCCCAGGATCTCAGAAGCGCAGCAAAGATCTCCGAGACCGCTACCATAAGCGATTTGACTTCTTCGCATGGTTGCAAGTTGCAACCTCATCGCAGTCGTATAGGCTCGACTATCCAGGCAGTAACCCAATTAAGTTTTCAAGAGAAACAGGCATGGCTGACGACAGATCCAGAAGATTACTGATCAGTACTTGGGCCCAGGCATCATCTGGCAGAGAGCGGTTGCTGTGCCCCCTTGGGAAAGAATCTTAACTTCGGCACGGATGGAACCGCGGAACCAGAACAGCCATCAGAAACGCAACATGAGTTCTTCTTTGGTTCTTTTGCAAATCTTAAATGACGGCGAGCACATCGAAAACTGGCTTCAGCTCAGCGGCCTCCGTAGTGCCACTTATGGCACCGCACGGGGAGCAAAGACCGGCAGCACGGGTTAGTGACAAACATCCAGTGGATTCGGACCCTGACTGCCACGGCCACACACTTCTGTACCAAACCCCTCCTTGATCCTCTCCCCTTTCGCAGTACAAGCATACTAGAAGTGTCCACACGCAAGGGCCGTTGGACCCCCAAGAGTTCCTTGACGCGAGCTTTCCAGAACTAAACTTCCTCCAAGACCACTGCTTGTTTCTCTGTCAAATTCAATGCTGGACATCTCTCCGACGTCGAGGCTGCAGGCAAGACGAGGCCAGATACCATGCACGATGTCTTAGGTGTCCGGCTGACCCCGTCATGTCCGAAGGAGCCCAGGAAACCTGCCCAAATGTCGGATTTGGTCAACATGCAGCAAACAAAGATGCTACGCCGCAACTTCAGCGCAGGAGGCTATAACTTGGTCTACGCAAAAAAGCATCGGAGAAGACTTCGAGCACCGCATATCAGTGCACCATAGTGCACCTGGCGCATAGAGTTCCAGCCACGACCGCGATCTGTCTCCTGCATCAGGCGGCTCTCTCGATCGACACAGAAGAACCCACCACCCGCCACCCCCCCCCCGGCCCCGCCATGTCTGTAAAATAGCGCGTGCGTGTACACACACACTCACACATGCACATCATCATCTCAGGAAAGGCACTGGAATCTCCATGTCTGAGTCCGGCTTCCAGGATACCTGGACTCCAAGCGCCGTAAACATTCCGGCTCCATTTTGCGGTCTGTCTATTGGAGTTGAGCAGGCATGAGCAGGCTTTATGGCGCCGTGGGCTCCAGCCTGACGCATTTGATTCCATGAAGTGCCACCCTGGCCAAGCGCCACTCTAGACAACATTCGCATTCGCTCAATGCTCAAGCCAAGTGTGTAGCACACGCATATCGGACAGTTTACCCGGCATCTCACTCAATCAGAGTCTTTTTGAGGTTAGTTACAGCACAAATTCCAGTAGATCCTCCGACATCTTCAGACCTGTGGCCGATACTCCAACCAGGATAGTGCAGTGTCTATCTTGCTCAGCTCCCCTGGCCTCCTGCCCCCGCAACGATCCACGTTCGGTCAGCGCACCCTGGCAGCTTTGTCAAGTACGAAAAGTTGACATTTTCTCCAGCCCACCTGAGGATCGAATGAGATCTGACGAGGGGTCTTGCGTGTAGCGTCCTGTTGGCAACGAGCGCCACTCGAACCTGCTTTGCAACTGTGAGCCATGACATTCCTGCCACGCTCGAGTCTGGCCCTTCCTTAGGCAGTTGGCTTCAGTGCAAAATGGCAAAACTTGTTGACATCCATGCTGGACAGTGCTACGCAAGTGTTTTGGCTACTCCATTGAATTGGAGGCAGGCAGCCTTGCCCTCAAAGAGTTGAGATGCTGGGAATGGTTCCACTCTGAGCCTGAGCAATTCCACCAGAGAGCTGCCGAGACATGCTTACAACTTGCCGCCTGGTTCCAGCGGCTAAGGCCTCTGCGCTTTTCGTGTAGCTCAACAGGCCTGTGAATGAAGTTTGGGAGTTGGCGGCGCCAGACACCGGCTTCTTGCTACATCTGCCACTATTTTACCAGGAGGAATGCGGTTGAGGCAACCGAGCCTTCGAACAGCATTCATGAAGTCCGATAGGGACTCGCACGTGCCCTTGTCCTGCAGCTCTAGCAGCCCGTGGATCTGAGTTTCCTTCGGAGGGAAACTGCATCTGTCCTCGCGATATTCTTCGTCCTGCTGGTAGGAGATGGGAGGGTTCTCCACCTGCAATCAGCACGAACAGAACCAGAACCATGAGCCGAGTCAGGAGAACTGCCGGTGCCGCCTCGCCTCCAGGCGCTCCGTCAACTTCTCATTGTGACCGAACTTCCTTCGAATGGCCCTTGGAGGGCGACGCCTTGGCCACAGCGACCCTAGCGACGTAGGTAAGCTGCTTGAATCAGGGCCAGAACTCTGCAAACCGCAAGCCTAGCTTTTCCGGCTCTCCATCTCGGATGCTCCTGGTGCTGGAGTGTTCGTGCAAATGCAAACATTCGCACGCTGGCCCGCACCAGCAACGAAGATCCCGAACATCCAATCGAGTCTACTTGAGCTCCAGTGCCTGTGGTGCTTGTCAATCGCACTTTCCAGGCCCATCACATTCCGGGCCTGCACAGCCATGGCAAGCGGTCTCCATAAAGTTATTGGAATAACGAGAGAACGGATTTCGCAGATGCATGCCTGCCTTATACTTCATGGGCGGCGGGCTGACCTGCTGACTCTGAGTGGCGCCGTGAGCATCCGAAACAAAGCTCGATTAGCACTGTGTTTTCTTGCAAGACACAGAAGTTCCCGAGCGGCTCCATGCTCCAGATTGCAACGGAACGAAAACGGACGTCCCACTGCAAGCCATGATGTGTCGGTCAAACAAGTAGTAAGTAGCTGAGAACAGCAGCGCTGTCATGTTGACAAGTACCGCTGATGCTTTCCAGGTATGCAGTAGCCGGAACGTGCTGCCTTCCACTCCGGGACTGGTTCATTCTGCGATGGTGTGGATGCTTGCGAACATCTCGTCAGGGGCTGCGAGTTATATTTAATACAGTGGCAATGCTCTGCAGGTCATTAAGATCCACGCAGCTGGCTGCATGAGCCAAGGGAAGGCAAAAAGCCACTGGCCTCCTTTTCAGCTGGTGTGGTAGCCTCGAAAAGACGAGGCCGCCGGAGATCAAGAACATGGGCGCCACCTGCAGGTGTGCAGCATGTTTTCGTTGCTTCTGTCTCTGCCTTTGCTTTGGCATCTTCATGTCTGGTTATCGTCGTGTCTACGTCGATCACAGTTGTAGTCGCAGCGGTGGTATTGATTGTCGAAGTAACTCGCTAAGATGGACAGCTCAAGAAACGAATCTTCCGACTGTCTGCTGGTTGATGGGGTTCCGAGGGACCCCCGAGTCTCATTACGTGACTTTCCACCCACGCATGGTTGTCAACGAGCACACGCATGGGCCATGCCACTGAAACGCCAGGCAACTTCAAGGCACATACAATTTCCTCCAGGAGCTCTTCGAAGTTCACACCCAACTTTCCGCGAGAAGCCACTGCTCAGGAAAGCCTACGCCAAGAGATTGCGCATCAAAGGCCCCACGAACTATCTCCTGCCACGTGTTTCAACAGAATGTGCCACTTCTTGAGGCAAGATTGGCAGATCTAGGTGGCCACGGCAGGTCCGGGGCTCCTTGTGGGCCATCTCCGGGTGGTACTGGTTTTCGATCCACTTGGCCTTCAAGTCTTCCTGGCATTCCGAGTGGGGGTTGCACTGCCATTTTTGCTTCCACCTCCCGCCTTCCTGGCATCTGACACCTGGTTTTGCATCCGTCGGTAGTCTGCGACCTCAGCGACTAGGCTTAGGCCTGGGCATTGCCAGCTCTCGCAGCTACTTTGATCCAGCCTTGCCTCGCGAGGGCTTGGATATTTGAAGGGTTTGCGGTCATCCTCCTGCAAAGAAACATGTCGAGGTGGTGCCAAGCAGACGCTGCCGCCGCAAGATGCTGCAAATCCTGCGGGATCTCCTCCCGCAACATCCTCCGTGCGAGATCGTGAAGACGTGGCAGGAGGACATGATATGAGTGCAACAGAAAGAGCCCCGCAGCCCAGCCTGTCTAACTGCACCTCCTTCTCCAAAAGCGGGAAGCAACCAGAGTTTCGCTCTGCTGAATAGGTCCAAAGATTGTCGCCTTCCTTCAGGTCGCAAGAGTGCAACAACTTTTCGCATGTGTAAATGTGTGACGGCTCCCTCTCGGTCACTAGCTGACTTCCAGAGCAGGCTGAGATGACAAGTGATTGTCGGGGAGAGCTGTCATATTGGTCAGAGGATGCGCAACACATCGCAGCACCCAGACCACACGTCGAATGCTGCCGTCGACTTGAATGCGATACTTGCAAGGGCCTCACCTTGCCCACCATCTTGGCTCGGATAGCTTTCTTTTGCTGCTCCGCTGTGTTCTTGGCCTCAGTTTGG